TATATATATATACAATATATTTAAATCTTTATGTTAAAATCGCTGTTTCTCCTTCGAATTGAAAGCGATCGGCTCTTTTCCAAGCATCGTATTTTTAGCGAGATTTCGTGGAATAAGTGAGTGGCGAAACGCCTTCGAAAGGGGATGCCCCTAACCCCCATAAATTGGTGAGAGGCAAGACACTCCCAGTCTTTGAGCCTCAGCCGTGAAACTATTCAATGTCAAGCACATTCCATCCGAACGACGTGTGTTCTGTCCCCCCTTTTTGCTGGTATCTGTACCTCTTTTATTAAGATGATAGTTATTGTTATATTATGGTACATATCCTAAAGTCTTATTTTAGTATTTTTTTTAGCAATATTTTCTTGGTATTATTCAAAGGACAAAATTTTTATTTTGACAAATTTATGAAGAGAACATCATAAGTGAGAAAAAAATATAAGTTTACAATTAGACATTGTGCTAAAATATATTCGAAAACAAATTGTTGATGTTAAAGTAAAGTTAATTAATATGACACACATGCGCGCGCGTTTTCCCAAAAATTTCTTGTTTTCAAGGTAGATCGGCGTCATTGACAACTTTTAATTTGTTTACTAATTGTGAGCCGAACTGATAAGTTTTATCAGAATTCCACTCTGATACATTGATGTCAAGGAAGGCAATCAATATGGTATCTGAGTGGAATTCCGATAAAAATTACCAGTTCGGCTTGCAATTAGTAAACAAATTGAAAATCATCTGTCAATGACGTCGCGTCGCGGAAAGAGGTATCAAACTGATTATTGAATACAATGACAGATTATCTTACAAGGAAAATAAAAAACGATTCATTATCTAAGTTATCGAATATAAACAAATGTAATGTATCCAAATGTAAATAAAAGCACTTTACTTAAACCGCTACGACAAGAAATTTAATTTGCATAAGAACTTGCACAGAACTTTTTGAGATTGTATGAGAAATTTGAAATATTTTATAAAATTTAACCTTATAATATTTGAAATAAATTTATTATTACTTACGTATTTTTTATTCAGAAACACTTGTCATCGCAATGTGTATAGTCGGTTACAGAAAGGTTGCAACACTTTTTTTTATGGGTTTCGGAACTCAGCCTTATTTGTAGAGCGATTGAACGTAAATAGTTATATTCATAAGTAAAAATTAATCGTTAGATGAACAATCTGTATTTCGAAACTTATCGAAAAAAAATATTGCAACCTTTCTATGACCTGCTGTATCCTTATAACGTTGCCAATTTTCTCTGAACTATAACTTTAATTTTAACTTTTACAAGTTTATAATAATATTGATAGCTATCGGCTGTCAATAGATTATTTAAAAAAAATTCCATTTAAAAACATTATTAAATTTTACGGCTGTCAATAGATTATTTTTAAAAAATTCTATTTAAAAACATTATTAAATTTACTCCACAAAGTAGGCGGAAAAATTCGGCCGGTTTTAATTCTTAACCAATTTTGAAGTTTTTTTATTAATTTGCTCGAAATTGAATAAGCTATAAGCCTATTCTGTCAATATTCGTTATCGTATTGTATAATTTTGATTTTTTCTGCTCACTTCATTAAATCCGTAATTTTTATTTTGGACCGTAATCAAAATTACGCAAAATAGACTTTTAGCTCATTCAATTTCGAGCAAATTGAAAAAATTTTAAAATTGGCAAAAAATTAGAGCGTTGGCCGAATTTTATCTACAAAGGTATTTTTCTGTCTACCCATGCCCCGGTGACATTTAAAATTGTTTAAAAAATCTGAAAAATTATGATGTTATTTTTTTGAGATATTAAATTACTTTAGGGATTGTCCTGATTTAATTTCAAAACTTGTTAAAAATAATAATTATCCTAATATACAGAGTGTTCGGAATTTAAGTATCAAAACTTTGGGAGCGTGTAGGGGATTAATAAATTAAGAAAAAAAGTCCTGTAGAGAGAGGGAGAGAAAGAGAAAGAGAGGGAGAGAGAGAGAGAGAGAGAGAGAGAGAGAGAGAGAGAGATGTTCGTTTTTGCTTTGTTTTAGAGAAAATCGCAAAAAAGACAAAACATAGTTTTCATTTTTGTACTTTCTCATTACTTATTCACATTATATTTATTCACTTGCTTAATGTAGATATTGTTCCAATGTTGACTTCTTGCAGCAATGCAAGCATTTAGGACGAACAGCTCGTGTTACAGCCAAACACTGATATGATGATATTTGATATACTGCAGCCTCGATTCGATTTCTCAATTGTTTTCTAGAGTTGATTGACGAATAAACTTCCTGCTTCAGGGTCCCCCACACAAAGAAATTCAGTGGTGTCAAATCAGGTGATCAGGGTGGCCAAGATACTAGTAATTTACTCGATGACTTCTGATGACGAGTAACTGATGAATTTATAGGAGGAAGGCAAAAATGTAAACAAACAAACAAAATTTTTACTTGAAAATGAAATCATTATTTTCGTGTACGGTTTTAGTGATGATAATACTTCAGAGGCAGTGCAAGAACGACGCAACTACGTTTTGTCTTTTTTGCAATTTTCTCCAAAACGAAGTAAAAACGAGCATATCTCTATAGGATAGGCATATCTCTTTTTTTTTTTAGTTTATCCATCTCTTACACGCTCCCGAAGTTTTTGACATTTAAATTCCAAACATTCTGTACACACACACACACACACACACGC